CAAAAAATCTGGATAAGCCAACATTTATATCGTAAAAATCTTCTTAAAATTGGAAAAAACTAGCTATTAAATTTTTTAAATGTCTTCAATAAATAGTCTTTCCTTTTTTGAACATTTAAACTAAGCAGAATGTTACATCATTAAAGGTAAGAAGCGAACATAACTGGTCGGCTTCTTACTAGCTTGCTGTTTACTAATGACGTCATATATTCATATTCTGAGCCGCTTTATAGAACAACATAATTTATAAACAACTGCCACACAATTGCGCACAATATTCTTATTAAATACGTTCAAGAAATCCCCTGAGATTGTCTTTTCATTTATTTTAACGAAATCTTTAAGTACGACTAAGGACGGCATTTATTTACTGGCTTAATTTACCTCCATAAATAGCTAATTTTTAACTATTTACCGATAAGTTAATCTAGTAACGTAACATCACTCAACAAATTAATGGATGAGAAAGTTCACTTCAGAGAATAGAAACTTTAATGAGATTGAATACCGCGAACGGCAAAGTGCAGTGAACTTGAGTGTGAAGTTGTTCGCGGAATGTGAAGCGCTTTAGTGCATCAAATTTGAGGGCATTACGAGCTGTGCCTCACTCGCTGCCGTAAGTGCTCTCACACGACACCACCACATTATCAAAGTTGCATAAACAGGGCGCATATTAAGTCAACAATTTGCGAGCTGATTTTAAGATTACCTCAGTTACTGCTGTATGCAGACTTGCTACAGTTTTTATTTCACATTATTATACTCGTAGTATAATGAACTCAGCTGACATCACTTGACTTTTCTTCTTAAATCAGACCCAACGTAGACAAACTTATGTACGACATTAATCAGGATTTTCGGACGTAGAAGAATCGCACTGAATTACACTTTCAAATGAACTCTGGAATAATTCGTTTGCGGACCTTTGTCACCTAAATATCTTTTCTTTCAGCCGCTATTTTTAGTAATCACATTTTTTTATATTTTAACCGCTAACATGAAAACATTTTTTGGAATACAAAATAAATTTTCCTCAAGCCAAAAATAAGTTTCATAACTAAATTTTAAAAATAAGTATTGTAAAGTAACCAACGCTGAATGTCATCACAATGTAAAAAAATAAATGAATGATGTTAGATCAGATATATTCAATATTAAAACGCGAGTAACAAAAGTTCATCAAAAGCTTTCTCAGTTAAAGCCAACTCCGCTCTTTAAACTCAATTGAAAACTTATTTTCTTTATTTAAAGCTATTTAAGCAAAGGCTTTGGTTTAGTTGAGATTGCGCTGAGAAGTATTATACCTTAATCTTTGATTTCATTGTTCGATTAAAATTTTGTTTTTAAAAATCATGTTGATAACTTTTTTTTAAACAAAGTTTTTGTGCAGTTTAAAGTAGTTTAAGAAAAGGCGTCAAACGATAGATGCATCATCAAATTGGTAACGGAAGTTAGAAGTGAATTCAGTTCGTGAAATAGTAAAGTGCAGCGGCCGGACGGAACTCTTGTCATCAGCACAACGTTGCCTAATCAAAGGACTAACTGCGGAGAGTGCTGGTGCTGAGGCTTTGTGCAATTTTAAATCATGCGTTAAAAGTCAAGCGACTGCGACTCTGTTAATTACTCCTTTTAAATTGTTTTAATTTTACTGAGAATTGTTTTATGTTGTACGAAAGCGAGGCTCTAAACGGTTGACTGCCTAAAGATAGCGCTAGTTATCATAAAGGGCTATCTAGAAGTTCTCAACCTAATGATATTTAAACATCATCATACCTGGAATGTTGTTATATAATTTAATCACCGTTCACATGCTTCAGTTGCGGTAAAAGGCCAGCCCATTAAAAATAATGGTCTCTTTGATCGTAATTTAGCGCCGTACTGCGGCTTCGGCAGTTTTTATTTTATTTTATTGTTCTCGTAATATTTTATCTGCTTTCGTAAGTGTCGCTTATCTTTTTCATAAATTTCAGCCGTTATCTTTCTATAACTGTGCCCATATTATGTTACAATAAAAAGTTATTGCTGAAGGTGAGCTTTTTAATTTAATATTATTTTCAACGCATTACATTGCAAGATCATCCAATGTTTATCACTACGAATATAAATACCAAATTATATTTTTATCTTAAGCAGACAACATTGAATGAATAAAACAATGTCCTCATTTTTCCAATTTTATCGGCTGTTATTAAGATTCAAATTTCTCAATTACGTAAGATATTAAAATATTCTATGCGGGGGGCGCTGTGGGGCGCTACGGGGCGCTGCGGGGCGCTAGGGGCGCTGCGGGGCTCGTCACCTTTTTTTGGTATTAATTTTGTGTTCATGGTACTTTGAGTTTCATTAAGTTTACAATTTGTTCTGTTGTGACGGTAACAGGTGCGGTTTGTTGGAGATATTCCGCGATCTTTTTTTCTTTAATTGAATTCGTGCAAAGGTTCTTTGCTTAGAGTCTTAATATTAAATGGATTGAGCTGAGCATTTCATGATAGCTTAACGAAGAATTGGCGTGAAAAAAAAATATAACAGAAAACCTACCAAATGAAACTAACAACATAAGCTTTTTATGAACACAAATTTACTTATAACCAATTTTATACTCGGACATAAAAAGTGAGGACAAAATTGTAAGATATTCTTTTATACATATTATTAATGCTTTATTACATAGGAAATTATTTAGTAAAGTAGAAAAGGCCATCTTGGCACTTGTGTTATCTTCACTGGCTATAACAAATATTTGTCCGGCGCTCTGTAAGCCTCGTTGAAGCTTCCTTGTTGACCTCCGAAGCCGCTACACAACTTAGCAAATTGCTGTTGACTACTTAATGAATTTAGTTTTAACTACATCTCGAGACCGCGCCGCGCCCTGCCTTCTAAACTCTCAGATAGTCTTAAAGTTTCGATTTGTCAACTTGTAGCACATAGCTTCGTGGCTCGGATCAGTTGTAACTTTACTTGTTCTGGTTTTATGTTGGTGATAAGCTAATACTTAACACGAAGTAGTTCCATTTATTTTGATCGCGTGGCATTTAAAAAATGAATGTAACTTAAAATCTAGAACGGTTGGTATTTAAATTTTAAAAGCCTTAATGATACTTGTAGACACAGAGCTATATTTTTAATTACCTCATAAAACACCTCGCACTGTTAGGCTCAAAGTTAGAAGCAGTTACGTGAAACTTTGTTTAATCGTAGCCCGTAGCTTGTAGCCGTATCTCGTAGCATGTATTTCGTAGAGGGTAAATATTTGTAACCACATCGTTACGACGAGTCAGTCACTAATTAAACGTCAGCAGTGATCAACTCACATACTACATTAATTAATAAGTTAATTTGTTGACTGGAACTGGAATATATTTTATAAGTTGATCGTCTGTGTACTATGACGGAAGTTGAAAAAAAAATATATGTCTCTAAAAAGAGGTGTTGATGTTTGTTATTAAATTTGAAACCACCCAGCGGGTGCACGTTAAATTTTAGTATCGACTCGGTGTCGCACGTCAAACCTACGAGAGTTTAGCTGAGCTGGTGCCGTTACCATGCTAATGTTAATTGTGTATTTTGCATACACGTGGCTTTACCTCCCGACGCTCACGCCGACCGTAAAATTTGATAACGGTTTTAGTAAACTAAACGTTAAAAGTAAGATGCTAATCGGAATAAAATTAAATTAACATAATAAAATGCGATTTACATAAGTTGAATTTCTAATAAATGTAACTGAATGTTTAAATTGAATATGTGCGGTATCTTGGTGACTGCAGGCAGTCCGCTGGCCTCGCGCGGCCCCTCTCGCCACCAGCGCGCCGCTGATAAGCAAGCTCAACATTTTTTCACTTCCGAACCATAAATCGCAAATCATTAATCTTGCTCGCGAAGCCCAAATTCCATTATTACGATTCCTTATTCAAAAGATCTGAGAAAATTGAATATGAACGATTATTTTTTTATTTCCACAACATCTTTGTGAATTTTCCGGGCGGAGGCTTCGTCGTTTATTCCATTGTGTTATTAATTAATACCGGGATTACCGAAAAATGAAATGAAATTCTATTGTTCTATTATAAATGGGGACTTTTTTGACGATGATAAGTCATTTAAGGAAAAACTATGGAAGCAATTATGTATGGTAGATTAAAATCCAGCACCTCAGCAGCGCCCCAGTGTAATTCAGAATTCGGTTGCAAGGTGGTTTCATTTTGACTACTTGACGTGCGTCTGTCTGTGACACATAGGAGTTAAACTTTGAGTACTGTGAAGACTTCACGCAATTTGAATTAACCGATTCCTCACAAACGAACATGCTCACACGCACACGTAGCGCGGCCTCATTAGGACACATCCGCAATTAAGAGGTCGCCGTCACCTCATATCTATTGAAAGGATAATTAATGCCAGTCTAAGCAAGATTTTCACTTTGTATTTTCTCTTCTTGTTCGTATTAAACTTCATTCATTTGAATTAATATCGAATATGAAAACTTTAATTGAAAACGATAAATAAGATTTGAATAAATTTGAGTAAAAACATAGCGAATGATGTCAGTGTCATTTAAATTAATATGACTTGTAACGTTTATAAATGTAAATGTTTATAAATATTGCCTTTTTCTGAACTTTGTTATCAGTGTGGAAGCACGGCACGAGGCAGCGGCGGGCGGGCGGCGGGCGGCAGCAGCGGGCGATTGCCGCTCAATAGAGTTCTTTTATTTCTTGTCACATTCCGAGCATTTTTTCACTTCCAGACCATAAATCGAGAATCATTAATCTTCTTCCCGGAACGCGAATTTCATTATAACGATGCCGTATTTGAAAATGAAATTGAATAAAAATGAGGGATTTAAGCTTTTTTGATTTATCGTCGTATTAGCTATTACCTTTGAATTTAATTATGCAATTGGAACATAGCAGTTGCAATTATTCTTCATAGACTACTATGCTTTGTCCTATTTGTGACTGTGTCACGTGTAAAGTGCACGATATTCGTGTGTATTGCAGAGAGGTGCTGGAGAACGGCACGCTGGTGGTGAGCGCGTTCAGCGCAGCGCAGTACCGCGGCGACGTGCACGCTGCACTATACCGCTGCCGCGCCGCCGGCCCGCTCGGCACCGTGCTGTCCCGCGACATGCGCCTCCAAGCAGGTCAGTCTCTCCCACAATATACACTCCATTTTTTACACATTTTTTCTGTTCTAACTCTCTCGTTTTGTAATTTTCTCGCTAAATTTACCGTCCTTGTAATATAAATATAACACCATCTACAAAGTTATTTAATCCATATCCATCAGATTAGACGACAGGGTCGCGCTGCCAATCCATTAGACCCTTTTAGATAGCGCTTTAAGTTTAGGGATAAGACATCTGTCGTAATTACAACTTAACGGTGAAATTAAGCAAACACGTTTCCGTGAAACATTTACTTATAGTGCCATGTTTACCAATCACGATACTTGTTACTTAAATGTAATATTACTAAAAGTTGCATCAACACAGCATCATAGCATTTAGCAAATGTTTTAAAATAGAATAATTAAAACAATGGACACCATGGTACAGTAGTACTCGTAGTATCGATACATTTACGAACTGCTAAACTTATTTCATGGGAAATGGAAAGAAAATTGTGTAAGCATTAAGCATTTATTACTTGGCATTGAGTCGATGGAGCGTCAGGGCGTGAGGGGTACGCCGCCGGTCCATTAGGCCCTTTCAGCGCCCTTTAAGTTCGGGGCCGCGTCATTCACAGTTATAACTTGAAACGCTTTCGTCCGAGCAAAAGCTCAAGTATTATTTATGTGTCCATTGAGTTTAACTCTCACTTAAGATTATTGCGAACTTTTGACTTGTGTAATATACTTTGATTTTATAACTTGACTTTTAAAGCCAAAAAATCTTCTTAGAGTTAAAATACAAATATGTTTGAAAATTATGTAACAAAACTTAATTTGTATATGTTGTAGGAATTTAATATTTAGAGAAGCTGAATAGTTACATTATCCGCGACTCTTCTACCTTACCTTGCTTCATCTGAGTCATACTAACTTGTATTGTTTCCTAACACGTAGGTTCTGTAAATGTTTTAGCTGAATTTTCGTAGTTCTAGTTCTGAATGTGCGACACGTGAGGGTATCCATAGTTTAGACAAATTCAATGATCGTCGGGGCACAGTTGATCGCGTGTAGGGACACATGCGTACGTGTCTCGCGTGCCCGGAGCCTAGCTGCCGGGGGCGGACTCGCCGAGCTCCGGGCTCCAGGCTCCGGGCGCGACACGCCAACTGAATCATAAATTATACAATCGTCGAGGGACAACAAATGTAACATATAACATGAAGTCTAAATCTATATTTTTTGTCTCTTGTTGACAACTTATCTTTTATTCAAACTTCATTATTGGCAAGGTCAAATAGAATAAACAAACTTTCTCAGTAATGAAGTTGATTTTCAGTTGTAGCAGAATTCACTAGTGCCTATCAAATTCTGGTATATGAACAGTAATTAACCATGAATCAAACAAATAAGTGCGTACCAGTAAAGGCTATTTTGTTGCCAATCTTTTCAATGGGTTTAGATTTACCAAAATGCAGCATCGTTTTTCGACACATTTACACAAAGCTCGATTTACACATCTGAGATCATAAGTCAATACAAAATTACATTTTCTGGGGACCCAAAAATGCAATAATGCGGTACAAAGTAAACCATATCTGTTGACATGTAAGGAATATTTTCCATTGTATCGGTAGACTTGACCCAATATATTGAGAAGGGAGTTGAAATCGTTCGAGCTGGAATGCAAATAGGATTCTTTTTGTGAGAGGCGAGGGTGGAGGGCGGAGGGCCCAATGCCGTGGCGAAGGTTGCGGAGAGGACAGGCGCTGCCAATATCCCTTTATGACGCAGGACGCCGGCCGCTAATGGAATCAGTATCGTAGAAAATTCCCAGCCGCTATTTACCGCTTCCGTTGCTCCTATTTTTGTTGCTTTGTGTGAAAAAGTAAATAATACTTTAATAGGCGAGAATTATGTTTTCTATTCATTTTAGGAAATATAAATTATGCTTGGACACACTGATTTTTTTTATAATTGTCATCAGCAGTTGCTGGTAACATTGTGTTATGTGCAAACAACACGCGATGTCTTACCATCATCGATGACATCATTGATCTTATAATTGAGCGAAAAGATTAAAAACAGCTTTTTGCGAAATCTTCGAAAAGTTCCGCCGACACTCGAACTCGCTTTCCTCTTGACAGCATCTCGACGGCCCTCCTCCGCCTTTTGGTCGCGCAATCGCCCGAAACAATACCCTCTCGCCGCAACCCTACAGAAACGCTTAAGCCCTTATTCCTCCGCCGTAATCAGCACAACGCCTGCTGAACGATCGTTTATTGTGTGCCTGATGTTTGGAAAGATATTATCGCTTGTTGACTCTCTTCTTTCTATAAAATATTTATCACATGAATTCTATTTTAATTAAGAATTTGAAACACGAAACGAAACGCGCATTAGTCAAGTTCCAGTGATATAGATTTAAACACAATTTTCGCAACAATTTTGTACATCAATAATGTTAGGAATAACTTAAGTTTGTGTATTTTCATTGTAAATTTAATTTAGACAAAACACGCGAAAAATTACAAATGCATTTGTTCACAATATTTATGTCGTAAGTGAATGTAATAATAAAGAACAGTATCAAAGTTTACATCAACTTTACAAGTCTCGTAGCAAACATCAACGAGATTTTGGATTCAAAGGAATTCTAAAAAATGGAAAGAGCATAATTATCCGTCATGTTTAAGTCCTGTGTAAGCTCTTCAGTAATCAACTAGTGTAATTGTGATCGGTCTCGAGTAGGGCGGGCGCCGGCAGCCGGCCGCGCCGTCAGCATTCTGCCAGTGGGCTGGAGTGCCAGAGCACCCCCCGCGCACCCCGCACCCTCCGCCGCACAATGAACGCTTTGTCTAACGCTTTAGGGTCATTCGCACCCTTTATTACAGTACTCTTGTAGAGCTCCTTTAAAGTGTGCTCAAATTCCCTTTATTTCAGTCTTAAGTAACTTTGAGTATGATTTTCGAGATTACCTGACGACATAGCAGTAATATTTTTACAGAAGAAAATAGTATTCTCTGTATTATCCTAAGATCAGTAATTACACACAAATACACTGCATTTGATATATTAAATACATCAAAAACGTCTTTTTAATTGTAGTAACTTGCTTCAAGCTAAAATCTAGGACCTCTTTACAAATAACATTGTACTTAGCGTTTATTACAGCGCTCTTTTACACGGAGTCAATAAATTTAAGTCTAAGATATTAATTTCTCTGGCATTTCTCTTCGTTCCTTTAATAAAAGAAAGGAGGCCGGCGTCGCGTCGCGTCGCTTCTCGTGTGCAACAGATGTCCTATATTACTTCTCACTTCCGTAATACCAACTAATTAACCTTTTCTATATTACTTTTCTTCATTAACCGCGTTTAGCGAAACACACAACAATAATTAGAAAAAAGTAAAAAATACATTTAATGTTTATAATTTCAAGAAACCTATGCAATTATAATCTGACCTCTCTTTAAAATTTTTTTATATTATGGAAACCTTACATAAATTTACGAACGTCCGAGTGTCGCGATTCGTGCGTTTTTAATTCGGTTATGAAGCTGTAAACGCGATCAATCAATCTGGACGTAGATGAGTGCGCCGGCTGCTGCAAAATTCATCATTGACAAAATTGCGTTTCAATCATTGTCGCGTACGTAATTTGTTTGGGGAAACTGTGCGAGATATAAACATCGCGAAAGGTATACATTTGATTACTATTATTACTTTACACTCGCGGAATCCGCGACCAGTGTGACGGGAGTATGCAAATAACACTCGGGTGTAAAAGATGCTGTCAGCATACAGTACGTCCAAACAACATACAAAAACATCAATCAAAACTCGGTGACGAAACACTTTTGGTGTTATTTTTGGCGTTGAATTAAAAATTGTCCGGTCACGTCGAATTAGGATGGACCGTAATCACCGTTGCGGTGCGAATTAACGAGGGCCGGCTGATGATAGGAGCGGTGACAGCGGCCGCGGCCGGGACACTGTAATGTAGTCCGCGATGCCCATGAATAATAAACACCCGTCGCCTCGCTGATTTCCCCTGCCGACTGTCGACAACGACGGCAGCTGCCGACACTCTCAACTTTGACATGACCACTCGCCTCTTTTAGGTTAGCCTACGCATTTGACTAATAATGTTTAAATTTGGACACCAATAGACGAAGCTACGTAAATATCAAAATTGGAATCGGGTGTGAAGTCCAACTAGGCTTACGTTATAATTTCACTAAACAATTCTAAGAAATTGTTTATTGTTTCAAGAGGAATTTCGTTTCGTTTACGTTGTTTATTACGTTAGGTATTATTTACCAAAATGAAAACGTGCCTTTCCAGTGAAATATGAGCTTCCCAAATCAATTTATAGGCAATTTATACAGATCTTTTGATTCCTTTCAGCAAAATGTAACATTTAAAATAATAAAATTGACACAGTGTGTATGTTACCAATAAATACTGTTTAATACTATCTATTTATACATTTGAATCAATCAATAGTAGTAACTTGTCCGAAACTTTTCAAATAATAACGCTCGAAAGATTTCAAAGAGAATTCCAGTGGCGTTTGGAATCGCAAACTAGACTCGGGACTACGCTCCCTACACCCACCGCGTCGCTTGCGTAAGACACCTTCACTTTGATGGTTGAACAAAGCTATTGGTATTTTAAAATCAAACCAACGATGAATTTTAATCATTTCATTATTTGTTAAGAATAGTTAAATTTTATTTCGCTCTTGTATATTTTTCCCGAGGAACAAAGGGTAGGTGAGCGGAGCAAAACAAGCGCTCGCGCTCGTGACAGCAGAGCGCCCTCTCGCGCCGGACTCGGCAACAATTAATTACGACAAGAGATGTTGCGGCGACAGCGAGTGATGCTCCACAACTTGCTTTCTACTAACGCAGAGTCTGAATGTGTGCACTCATATTAATTCGAATACAAATTTTAAAGCACAAAACTTATTGTCCTTACAATATTACTTTTTTGTCGTTTTTATATATTTAACAAATTCTAAACGGATAGATTGAAGAAATAAATAATGTTACTACTAATTGTTAGCTTTTAACTATTTTGTTATATTCTTAAAAGTTATTTGTTGACACTACCACTGTTAAAGTAGTATGGCCGTCCGTCTATATCCGTCCGTATATATGTAGGAAATCATTTGTGTTCAAATATCTAACATAATGTATTAACAATATATGAATATCGGCTTTAAAACTTAATAAGTACGATTGTATAATTATGTCCGCAAAAATTTAAATAAAGGACAAATAAGCAGTAACTATCTTCACAATCAAATCGGTCTCCCGTTGACTAGTTGTGTGTTGTCGCAGTTATGGACGTGTCGTGGGAGGTGCGCGTGCAGACGACGCCGGGCGCGGCTGGCGGCGCGGCGCTGCTCACGTGCGCGCCCACGCCGGCCGTGCGCGCACATGTCCTGCACACCACATGGTACAAGGACGGTCTCACGCTTGCTCCCATGGCTTCTGACACCGGTAAGACTTCAAACGGTAAATCTTGATTCATTTTATCCAATATTATGTTATTGTATTATTAGCCATGACGCTAACAGGTCAAAGTGCTGGATGTAACATGTTCTGGAGCGGCGCCAGCGGTTTGTTGCAGCGCCGGGTGTGTTGTTATAAAGACCAAATTAATTTCACTCGCCGCACGAGGCTTGACAAGGCAGCAGTCGATTTTTTTTTTCGCAAGGGAACATTATTAAGAATTTTTCTCCCCCGGGCTTTAAAGGCAGGTGTTCCGGACACAACCGAGGATGTTTTCAAATTCATTGGATTAGAGCCTTTTAAATGGATTTTAGTGTCTATTTCCAGTTGGAGCGGAACACCTTGGAGAATTTTATTAGTCTCATCTTTTTAATACCGTGTAAGTTCATAAGAATAATTAATTTAATAGTAACTAGTAGAGACACACTACTACTAAAACTGCTATTCTAAAGATTTCAGAGGTACATAATGTATTTGAAGTGTCATCAATAATGGTTCATGGTATATGGGTCACAGGTCCGCTAGAGCAGGCAGCGGCCGCAGTATCTGAGGCATGTCATAACTCAAAGGCTTACATCGTCTGCGGCCGGGTCTTAATTAATACAAAGCCCCCTTTGGACTGTCACATGATCGCTTGCAAACTGGACCTCTAAAATGTCACTAGCATCTAGGTTTTACATTGCTTCAGTAAAATTGACTAGTAATTCTACGTAGTTAGCAAAATTAAATGATTGACCATCTACCTAAAATAAGACATAGCTAACAACGCATTTTGAAGTTGTTTTAAAAATGAATGGTTTTACAATAATAATTAATTCATCCGATGTGAACATTGTATAAATATCTGGTTGATTCAATGTCTATAAATATTAATATTACAATAGAATAGACAATATGTTATCCAATTCACTGCTATTACAACGTAAACTTACTTTAAGCGTACTCGGAGGCGCCATTTTAGCGTCCTCGACCTGTTTCACGTTTATCCATAGTACGGCAGCGCCATCTCATAGGATTAACAACAATAGTGAGATAATTGAAGCGAAGCCTGAATTTGTAATGAAGGCGAGGCTGAGGAGCTCAACTACAGCGAACTGTGGAGACATGTACATGTATGATACGATACTAACGCCGCTAGTTGCAGGTTAATGCCTCAACTTGATTAGTATTTAGTTTTCATTACAAAATAAGACAGTCATAACAAACCCAAGGTTCAAACTTATAGCTAAAAGATCCAAATCCAGCCTAAACTGTCTAAGACTGTCTTTGATTTAAATAATTGTCGGGTTTTTTTAAGTACTGTTGTCTAATAAAATTAAATTAATAACAGTTTTGCAATAAATAGCTATAAGGAATAACATTCCGTCTAGAAGAAACTCAGTCCATAAATAAGAAAGCGAATTAAAATGATTTAGAATAGAGAGCGCGGTTGTGTCCAAACAGTGCGGGAATAAGATTGCAAATTAAAAGTCCCGGCCAAAGTAAAGCGGCGCTAATGCAAGTTTAATGTTCGTGTTTGTTGCAGTCGCGGGGAGTGGCCGCGTCTTGCCACTGCACTCATAAATTATCTGCAGAGATTGGAGGCGGTACTTATTTACTTTTATTGGATAAATACGTCTTCTAAAAGAATACTATTAGGTTTCGTTTACTCTTCTTCGTGCTTCGATGTACATTTATGCACATACGTTATCCTTTCTTTTACTTTTAACTCTTTAATTATTATTTTTTTGTTTTAGACAAATAAAATTACTGTATCTCAAGTTTTAAGACGAGACGAAGTAATATAATTCTGTCCTTTTTATTATATTTGTGACGCCTGGGATTAATTTGAATTAACATATCCCGCGGTTTGGAGACATTTCGGGAAGGCGTGGAGACAATTTCCAGGTAACGTCATTTATGCAGATAACTGTAAGGCTGCAGGCAAGTTGATGAGCTGGTGGATGAGAACCATGTCGCCGCAGGCCTTCCCTCCTTCCCCCACCCCCACCCTCCATACTAATACAACGAGTAAAATACTGTTTGCAATTTTGTTTTACGACAGTCATGTAGCTGGTATGAGCTGAGCAATGATCCCATATGTATTAAAATTTAAATAAAATGAGACATCTATATGTTGCATAAAATACAGATTAACTAATTATATCTATCTATAAATAATTTTATACCAACGTTATAAGCAGAATGTTTCCATTAAGTATGCCCATTGCCCAATAATTTAATTTCCGTAATGAATGTTTGTCCCATTTTTTCTAATAGAGGTAATCATTCCTCAAGGGTGGTCATCATTTGTTTTAGTACATAAAGTTTGCTTGTTGTTTCACGACAATATCGGGAGTTTCTTTCCAACATCATAAAAGTAAATGTCAAAGTAATAAAATAAATGTGTGGAGCTCGTTACGTCCCCGGAGCGCAGTCGCGACATGATGTGATGTATCCTTAGCTAACATTATAAGATAAGCACATTGCATTATGTTATTAATTATTAATGTTGTATGAAACTAACGAAAATTTGTTAGAATCTGTTTTTCTGTCTAAATATGACGTCAGGATCTTCAAGAGTGAAGATACCATCTTTCGACCACATCATCACTTAACACCAAGTAGGATCGTGATCAAGCGTTAACTTAACTAACATAAAAAATTACTATATCTTACGAATCATTGAAATACATACGTATCAGCGTCCTTAGAGCACGAATGCTGTATCTCTACGCTCACCGCGACGTGCTTTGTCCTGGACCAACATTGCGCGAGGCTAGAGGCAGCCATATATGCACATTGTCTCTTTAGTCGTATGTGATAACGTGGTAACAACTAATTATACCATTCCGCTTCGTCGGCTCATAAAATTAAATGCATTGTGCTCGTCTGTCGCGGTTGCGGCAGCTGGCGCGGCGGCGTTCGTTAGCTGGAATCACTAATTGTCTAATTAATGGTGGCTTTGAGTCTTTGTTTGAGGCCCTAATGACACGTTTCATTCTTTTTTGCGATGTCAGTTCAGATACTAGTACTCCTTTATGTTAAGTCTATGAGAAATAGTTGAAATAAATAACACTATAGCAACTCTTTCAAACCCTGTTACATATAGAGAAACGTAAAAACAGATAATAATAAGTAGGACACCGTAACACCGTAACACCGCTGCGCAGCTGTAGATTTTCATAAGCAGCATTATCTCGGCTCCTCGTCGACAATGTAAAAGCTCTAAATGTCCTCGAGCAAAAGTTATTTGCAACAAAAGGCTACAAAAGTCCACTCGAGTGGGGCAAGAGAGTAACAATACTATCAGGAGCATCGGCGACGGCGACAATTGCGCAGGGAAAGGAAAAAGGCGAGTTAAGATGGAATGGCCGGTGAGGCGGCGGGGGCGGGGCGGGTAGCGGGGGGCGGGCGCATTTAGAATTCATTGAAAAACTCGGAGCTGAAAGTTATCTGATCGTAAGCGAAGTCGAGAGCGACCTCGAGTACACTCGCGCGGAACACTGCTGCAAAATATTTGAACACATTAAATACTTTGATAAACGGTTTTTTATCAAACTGTAAGTTTGTTGTCACATCTTATTATACTTTTTTTTGTGACAGACAAGCGAAATTTCAAATTAGAAAAACCCCTTAAATATTTTTAACATGTGTGTGCAGTTTATCTAGGTTTATTTATCATATGTGGAGAAGGAAATTCGTTTCACGATCGACTCGCAAAATATTTAACGAACGAGAATTTAAATTATAGACTAAGACTTGACGTGAACTTATATGTTCTTGCTTTTACTATGAGATTTTTTATACGGGTCATTTCAGAGTATTACAGTAGTTTCAGGTGCTCTTAAATCTTACTTACGAGTACTATCACCTTACATTAGCGTAAACACTACCTGCTTTGTTAAGTGGGGTGTCAGCATGATTGCTTGCAGCATATTTTTCGCGAATAAACTAAATGAAAATTTTCACAAATCTCTATCGACGGCATCGATATCGTCGCACATATCGAGTTCTCGTCCAATTTCCATTGATAGGGCAGTTGATCCCGAATGCTATCGCCAACACGATATGAAAGCAATTTAACCCTTCTTGAGGAGAAAGCGACTATAAAATGCCAAGTGGGGATCCATCGGCGATGCTTTAACGCCGTCGTGCTGTCAATGTGTGAGCGCACTCAATATACTCTGACCTCTAATTTTAATGTCGTGAGCGTCTTAAGTGCGGCTATCTCAAAGTTAATTATCATCATTAAACTAAGTTAATCATCATCATGACTTTTCCCCTTTCAACAAGCATGGTACTTGGTACCTCGTTCTCGCCAGACGATACCCAACTTTTCATTTTCCTCTGCTAATAGTAAAAAGCGAGACAGTATAAGGGCTTCTGAGAAAGGCACAGAGTTAACAACTTCATATTGCCGCAACTTGCTCGTTTGTTCTGCACTTGTCCACATAACGCGAATATGTACTTACCCAACGTATGTCCATGAGTATATTGTAATAAAGTATTTCGGTGAAAACGTTAAAAATAGCGAAGTAAGAATCTGAATATTACTATGATGCAATGTTATAGGTTTTTATAGTCTGATGGCCTGTAAAACGCAACTTAATAGGTCTCCCCAAAAATAGATTGCTGGCCAATTCAATGTTTTAGATCGTCCGATAAGAACTTGGCTAAGGCTTTGGTCGATGTCAGCTGAAGCTTAATTATACCGCAGGTCGGTACGTGGTAGGTGGCGGCCGCGGCGACGTGCTAGTTGTGCGCGACGCGCGGCCTGATGACACCAGCGCCTACGCTTGCGAAGCGCAACATGCGCTTACCGGCGACAAGCGACGCAGCCCGCCAGCCATGCTGGCAGTGTCTCGTAAGTTTTACGTCGTAAAAATTTATCCTTAGAGTCAACAACTCCTCTAGAATATAAGAAAGTTACAGATAAAACTAAAAATGATGAAATCTTCAAATATCAGATTCGACGGGTAGCATGGCTCCGCGCATGCTGACGATATCGGAGGACGAGACGGTGTCTCAGGGTGGCGACATCAGGCTTGTCTGCTGTGCTATCGGCAGTCCGCCGCCGACCTACAGGTCTGCGAAATATATGTTAAATGCAATTCGTTGAAACGATTGCCGTCTTGTTTGATTTCTCATCGACTGTGTTTGTCTACAGCTGGTTCCGGCACGCGAACGGCAGGCTGAGCCCGGTGTCGAACAGCGTGCGGGTGTCGGTGGCGCAGCAGGTCCTGGTGATACGGCGCGCGCAGCCAGCGGATGCAGGCGTGTGGACGTGCCGCGCTCACAACCAATTCGGCGAGCAGCGCCGCGACGCCACTCTTAGGGTGCGCTCGCGCCTTGTCGTCACCGTGCACCCCCAGCTGCAGGTATATACCCGCAACATCAAGCAAGCTGCTGCAATTCGTCGTCTTGTCCTTATCTCAGCACACACTCGCCAACAACATATTTGTCGTATGTGTTCGTGTTCAATAGCAAGTTGCCAGACACTTCAAAAAATTGATTATATAACCTCAAAAGTAGTACATCTTAGACAACTATGTCTGAATACTCGTGAGAAACATTTTGCACTAAAAACATTTCCATTTGCGAAAAAATAGATCATTGGTATGTTCTCTGTTGACGTCGGTTCGGGGATCGAGGGTTAATCAAGTTACGAGACAAGACACGGGCCAGTCCGGCGAGAAGTGACGTGGCGAGCTTAAATGTATACGTTGTTTTACTAATATACATAGTAATCCTATTTACACTAACATTAAATAATGGTACAAAAATATTTTTGCATTTAATACTTTAAAATGAATTCTGCGGCGAAGCGTTTTATTTAGCAATAAATATTTTAAACAAATACCCAGTAAGAAGCGGCAGTCGTAAATGATTAATGAAATGTACCGGACTCCGGGCTTGTATAATTTATTCTGTTGCGCCGTCCCGCGGGATTAGTGCCAGCCCTCGTGTTCACACGGACAGTCATGAACAAGGTAACTGTGTGAACATTTGCTACCTAGGTGGCAAACTCTGGGAGTTCGGTGGTGTTCAACTGCTCCGTGGAGGGCGGCGGCGAGGCGCGCGTGCGTTGGCTGCACGACGGTGTGCCGGTGGGCGGGGCAGAGCGCACGCTGCGGGTGCACGGTGTTGCGCGCGCGCACCGCGGCATGTACCAGTGCTTCGCGGAGCGCGACCTCGACAGCGCGCAGGCCGCCGCCGAGCTGCGTCTGGGAGGTCAGTCGAAATGCTCCTTCCAGAAAATAACTTAAAGAAACAGTATCACTTTTTCTGTAAAAATGATAAGAGGCTAACAAGAAAAGTTTATAAGAAGTTACTATAAAACTGAACTTGCGTGATATAAAATAAATGTTAAACAAAGTTCAATTCACTGAAATAGCTCCAAAGAACGACAGTATTTTCAGTAAATAGGTGCCGAAAGGATTGTAAGAAAAGACTTTTAAGTATTTAAATTTATTCAAGAAAAAACGACAACGGAAGCTCTGAAACTGAGCTTCTCACTCCCAGTTGAAAGATATTCCCGCCAGCAGAGAGCCCGTCACATTGTCAATGCAAAGTGCCTTTCTCGACACCAGGGACCGGTCTAATTGATTTTCTTCGCGGCCATGATGTATAGTTGAAGTTAAGGTAATCGTAAGCGAAATTTTTCCCTTTACTAGACTTAAATAATTCCAAAATGAAAAACAACAGTTTCTTATGTTCGCGGATGACATACGGTGTCGCAGACAGCTCCCGACACGGACGCAAACTTGGTCGCGGCCGCTTTTAATTGCTCTTAAATAATGCTCAGGAATACAGCACAGCTTTACTGCCTAAAAGTTTACGGCACTTCATTATACGTCAGCTGTTTAAGAAAATCTCGGTTAAGAGAAAAAAATGTGTCAAACGTATTCAGTAAAATTATGTTTTTCATGTATTTTATTGCGTATTTTGGATGCAAAGTACTTTATTGTTGTGGGAAAATGTCAATAATACTACACGGTGTCGGGCATATAGCGTTGTTGTTACTGCTTAGTCTCAAGACAGAAAGAGATATCTTAAAATTTGACACCTACCCTTATGAATTCCTCTCTGATAGTAAGATCGTTCAGTTGACAATAATGATCAAGGAACAATTTGCATATACATGATAGTGTGGGGGGGTTCGGGACGGGAGGGGGCGAACCGGGATCCGGGTCAGTTATTGATTAAACTGCGCTGCAGTAATGACTGGACAGGCCATGCGTCACTCCTCGCCTGACAGGTAACCTGTGGCCCAAAGCAATCGAAACAAGTAACATCAAAATCCCAGAAAATTTATTGCGTATAAGTATTAGTTGCTGTCTTTAGAATTTGTCCTTCATTGACATTCGTGCAAAATGGACCAAATCATGATTTAAATTGTCATCATCCAGATAGTTAATATTAATTTTACCATTGTTATCAAGTGGTATTTTTAAGCTTTGCGTTAGCTAAGTTGAAGCATCTAACTTATAATGTGATAAAATGAAATCGCTCACAGTTTATGACCGGGGCTGCAATGTACGTCACAATGCGAGGGGCGCGGGCGGCGGAGCGTTACCGAAATCTATGAAAATCGAGCGCAACTCGTGCACCGCGCTATCTTAATGAATATTGATAAAATAAACTGATTAATGATACAGCAATACTCCGCATCATGCGAAATAACAGCCTTATAGTTTGTTTTTTTAATAGCAATTTAAAAACATTTTGAATCTAATATTTCCTTTCTGTGAATTTCCTATTAGATAAATGCATTTGTTAATGAAAATAAATATCTGTTGTTATATTTTTATTATTACTGCACTAAAGCACGATAAAAAAGTTCTCATAGAGCGAGCGCGACAATCGGAAGCTATAAATCACTAATGGAAAAGCCAAAACAGAATCCAATCAACGTGCGCAAATGCCGCCAATGGCACATAAACAAAGCGGCGCGGGCGTGGGCGAGCGACGCTGGCCGGTGGAGGGCGATGTACGGCGTGTCGTTTGTCACCGGCCACGCGTGCGCTACGCCATTAACGTGGGTAATATTGCCCTCCTAACGACGACACATCATGAAGGCAGTTGTACAGAAATATATGCGGCTTTCTTCATCACTGGACTGGGAATTGACCGTTTACCGTTTGTTATAGCGCTCGTGATCGTATACTCAGTTTATTTTATGATAGTACTGTTAACAGCGGAGAATTCTTATATACCAGGAGATGTTAAATTTATTGCGCATAATGTTTCAATTTCTTGTATCGCTCGAACCATAATTATATTTTACAATTCCAAAAGAGTTGCCGTAACTGTCGTGAATTTACGAGGACGATAATATTATGATAATGGTATTTTAGCGTTAACTTATGTCAGTATATGAACGACAGACACGGCGCCGGAGCTGCACTATACCTTCATCGAGCAGGCGCTGCACCCAGGGCCCGCGCTGGCGTTGCATTGCGCTGCGTCCGGTGCGCCGCCGCCACGCTTCACCTGGCTGCTGGACGGACAGCCTATAGAGGAACTCAACACCCCACAGAGGTTCCCTACTTTCCTTGTCTACAAAATCTTACGAAATCTAAATTTAGGATCATCATTAAATGAAAAGACGTTGTACTTTAGGAGTATCAGCCAGTTCATGAGGGCGAACGGCGACGTCGTGAGCTATCTGAACATCACGTCGGTGCGCGCGGCCGACGGCGGCCGCTACACCTGCCGTGCGCACAACTCGCGCGGCGCTGCCGAGCATTCCACGAGGCTCAATGTTTATGGTTCGTCGATACTTTGGTTTTTTTATTAAGATATGTGACGTGCTTTTATACATAATAAATAAAATAAAATAATATATTTTTTTAATTTTATTAGCTATCATAATATGTAACAGATCATCTAAATCTATTCTTTAAAATAAATTTGAATGTGTGACCGTTGTGCGTGGCAGGGCCGCCGTCCATCCGCAGCATCGGGCCGCTGCGCGTGGTGGCCGGCCTCAACGCGACTGTCTACTGCCCCTACTCCGGATTTCCAATCAGGTTGATGGAGGTGCATTTGTTTAGAAAGATTATAAAGTATGTTATACCAATCATGACTTCAACAGCTATGTCAATAATAACTTTCAAACGATATCTTATTAACGTTAGTTTTTTTAGAATGAGAGATTTTAATGTTTAATTCGAATAGCATTGGAAACTATTATTTGAATCTCACACCCTAACCAATAGCTTCGCTTTTCTAATAATACAAGCGTTAAAATATTGATTTTGATAAAATAAGAGACAAGACTCTGCAGCGCATCTCTAGTCGTTTTTTACTCGCATGTCTACTTCCACTTCTCAATATCGTGTGACTGTTAGCGAGATCCGGTGGCAGCGCGGGGCTGCGGGCGGGGAGCGCGCGGCGGGCGCGGGGGGCTCGCTACGACTGTGGCCGGCCGAGCCCGCAGACGCTGGACTCTATTCCTGCCGGGTCACCGCGCCCTCTGGACACTACGCTCAAAAGGACGTGCAGATTTTTGTTAGAAGTAAGCAATTACAAGTTACGAATTAAAAACGTAGTTAATTCATTTGCATTACTTTCTAAACTAACTAACGAGAGTACTAATGAACGATATATTACAATGATTTCAGATCCCCCTAAGATAGCGGGCTTCTCCTTTCCATCGGACTTGGTGGAAGGCAGTTCAGTGCAGGTATTGTGCGGAATTACGTCCGGCGACAAGCCCGTCTACTTCTCCTGGCTCAAAGATGGTCAGCACATACCTTCTAACTTGCAGGTACAGTCTACAAGATAAGTTATACAGTTTACCAATTACTGTATTTGCTGAACATGATGATGATGATATATGTTAAACCACATATATGCATTATCAGGTACAAGAGAAGTCTCTGGATGAGTTCAGCTTCTTGATATTTTCGCACGTGACGTCCCAGCACAGCGGCGAGTACACGTGCGTGGCCAGCAACACCGCCGCCGAGGTCAACCATACTGCGCGCTTGGCTGTCAAAGGTTACCTTTTTCTTTTTAATACATTATTTTATTGTCACTTCTTTATTGATCTTTTATTTCTTATTCAAAATATTGATTCTAGTTTGAATTTCCCATAGTTTATATTAATAATCCCAAGTATTATTTTTGTTTTGCAATTGCAGTCGCTCCATCATGGGTGTTCGAACCTCAGGACGCATCAGTCCTGCTGGGCACACAGGTCATTGTGCATTGCTCAACCAAGGGCTATCCCGAACCCCAGATCGCTTGGTTAAAGGAACAAGGTACCAAGAAATGGCATCAATTTCGTAAATGCTAAGTTACGTTTGTTTTAACCTGTAAAGTTCTAACAAATCAATAACGCTCTGGTACTTCGGCTATATTTAAATGGATATTTATGTATATATTTCTCCGGACAGGCGGCGAGTTCCGGGCACTACCGCAGCTGGAGCCCGCACCGCTGGTGCTGCGGAACGGTTCACTGAGTGCGCCAGCGGCGGCGCGCGTGCACGAGGGTCGCTACATGTGCCGCGCGGATAACGGCGTCGGCAGGGGACTCTCTAAGGTCATCACTATCTCTGTTAACGGTAATTGTAATATATTTCAATCTTAAAATATTATCGCTATGGGGTTTGTTTTAGTCTTTGACTACTCTATGGTATTTCAGAGCCGGCGCATTTCGAGTTCTCGTCTCGCAACATGTCTGTGCGGCGCACGGCGGGGGCGGCGCTGGCGTGCGCGGCGCGCGGCGACCCGCCCATACAGCTGCACTGGACGCACAACACGCAGCGCCTCGACCTCTCCACTTACAGGTAATAGACACATTTTCTTTCTTATGTAAATCAACAATTTTTTATTTTATATGTTGCACGAATTAGGGTTAGTATATTATGTATGTGTATGTTTTCAGGGTGTCTGTTTCGGAGAAACGTTCAGAGAGCGGGGCCAGCTCGACGCTAAGCATCGCGCACGCCGAGCGCCGCGACTCCGGCGTCTACCGCTGCCGTGCTGAGAACGCATATGGCCGCGACGAACTGCTTATCTACCTCGCAGTACAAGGTTAGTGTTTGTATAAACAGGCATGTATTGATTTAGTATCTGAAAGAGCAATGACTATCGACTAATGCTTTCCTCATTAGCTAATAACGATTGTCAGATTTCAAATAAGTAATGTTTTGTCAGAGTTTCCGGAGGCGCCGCGCGGGCTGCGGGTGGTGGGGCGCACGGCGCGCGCGGCGCGGCTTGCTTGGCGGCGCGGCTACGACGGCAACGCCCGCCTGCGCGCGCACCGCCTGCAGTACCGGGTCGTGGGGGCCACGCAGCACGCCACGCCGCTCGGCATACAACTCGGCAGTCAGCTCGGCACACAGCTCTCAGCGCCGCGCCAGCAGCAGGCCGACTGGACTGACGCACCCACGAGGGAGATATCACCAGATCTAGTGCACCAGAGGTAATTAAATAAAAGGGTTAAATACTGAATCAAATACATTTTGAAATAGATATTTTTGTACTGTTAATCATGCCCTAAAAAGGAATAAATTAATGACATCATCAGGCAGGCGTCATTAGAAATGGTGGGGGCGGAGGGGGAAGGGGAGAGCGAGGGGGATGTGGTCCTCGAGTTCTTGCTGCAGGGTCTGCGACCGGCCACCGCGTACGCGCTGCGCCTCGCTGCCGTCAACGACATCGGCGACAGCGACTACTCCGACCCCGTCATCGTGCACACCCTGGAAGAAGGTCTTTGCTGAACTTTGAAATACAAAATTACTCACAGGCGTATAGATACTGTTACTAGTATGCACCAAGACTAGCGACGAATGCGACATTACAACAAGACGCCAGATTACACGCAGACCATAAATTAACAGGTTTTTACTGTATTTTTGTTCTATGCTATGTGAAGAATTGCATTGCGACGAATGTAATAAATTTTAAATCCTTATTTCTTATCTGACCTCTTGTTTCATTTGTCTATTAACTTCAGTAATCACATTATATCCATTACCTTCTTATTTGAATTAAAGCTATAATGATCAGTCCATAATGAAAATGGTGTTTCAGAGCCCTCCGAGCCACCTCGCAATATTGAAATACAAGCGGACGCGCCCGGCGAGCTGCTTGTCAAATGGCAGGTAACAGGTCTTATTTGAGCAAAAATTTTCTAAACTGGATATACTTACTATATACTGCTCCTCGAAATTTTTTTAAACTCTATATATACTGTGGAAAAAGTAAACTGGCGATTTAGCGTGGTAGCGACGTTATCAATAGCTTTAGATATTAACACAATGTAACCTCATACAGGCGCCTTCGCAAGAGTCGTGGAACGGCGAGCTGCTGGGCTATGCAGTGTGGTGGCGCGGCGACAACGCGTCTCACGCGCTCACCGTGCCCGGCT